ATATATATATATATATATGGCCTTAACGCAGTAGGTGCTCAATTAATGTCAGCCAATCTTATTTAATTCCCATTCGTTTTTTCCATACACATTTTTGAGAACCTATTGTATGCCAGTTTCTGCTCAAAGTGCTGGGGACCTAACGGGAAAAAACAGACCTAGCTTCCTACCCTTATGGAGCCAAATTATAACAAATAAATTGCTAGAAAGGGATGATTGCAGATTGGGAGAAATTCAAAGAAGGGAATCCTTGTGCTGGGTTTTATAACAGAGAATGATGAGTGGGTGCTAATTAGCTATAGGAAATAACTAAATCCAATTAAGCAATTCTGATATTTACTGAGTTGTGTGCACCAGGTGCTAGGTACATGAGGGCAAGCATAAGCAGGCAAAGTCACTGCCCTCGCGATGCTGCTTACCTCCTGGGTGGGTGGGAAGACAGAGACCCACAGACACAACTTTAATAGAGACTTTTGAGGCTCCTCTACTACTTAGACAAATCACATAACTGCTTTGGGTCTCAATTTCCTTGTCTGCAAAAGCAGATAATAATACCCACCTTACAAAGTTATGATGAATATTAAGTAAGTTAATACTTGGAAAGTGCTTAGCACAGTGCTGGGAATACAATAAGTGCTCCATGAGTGTTTTTTATTTTTATTTTTTTATTTGAGAGAGAGAGTGTGTGTGTGCGTGAGCAGGGGATATGCACAGAGAAAGAGAGAGAGAGGGAGAGAGAATCTTAAGCAGGCTCCATGCTAAGCACAGTGCGCAATACGGAGCTGGATCCTACAACTCTGGGATCATGATCTGAACAGAAACCAAGAGTCAGACGCTCAACTGACTGAGTCACCCAGGTGTCCTGCTCCATGAGTGTTTGTTAAAGAAAATAAATACATTTATTTATTAGGAACTCAGGAAAGAGGTCAGGGATTGAGTTGGAAATTGGGCATTTTTTGAGCACTAAGGATAAATGTAGGCTCAGGGGATCACCCAGGGTGAGAGGGAAGAGTGGAGAGAGGAAACCCAGCACAGGCTGTGAGGAATGGATGAAAGAAAAAGAGGCACCAGGGAGGTGCAGCCCGAGGGGCAAAGGGGAGCAACAGGAATCCACTGGTTCACAGAAGCCAGGCAAGAGAGTTTGGGGAAAGAGGAGTTGGCAGCATGGGATACTGCTGGGGGCAGGCCCTTTGGGAATCCAGAAGGCCACAAAAACTGGTGCCCCCCCCCCCGATTGCTCCCACACCTAGGACCTCCAGTCCTGAAGATATGCCATTTACCCACATGTCTCCTGGAAAAAAAGTCTTTGCCCTGGTCCCCCTAACCGACCCCCACTTCCCTTATAATCCCCCAAGAACCCCTCAGGACACCCCCCGTCTACCAACCCAGCCTACTAGGAACCCAGAAACTCAACCCAGATTCAACTCTTAGCTCTGTCACTTAGCAATTATACAACCTTGGGCAACTTAACATAACCTTGCTAAGCCTCTGTTCATCTGTAAAATGGGTATAATAATGCCTGCTTTAGAGAATTGAGGGAGGGGAGGGTCATTAAATGAGTCAATTATCTAAAGTGCCTTGTAGGTGATCAATAAGTGCAAGCTCCTTCACTCAGAACCTTTGCTACACAAGGAGCCTAGCACCATTTGCTCAGTCTCAGGATCCTGCCCCCCAGTCTGAGACCAAGGATCTGGAACCATACCTCAGACCTTCTCCCTAAACACGTTTTCTCCCTATGACCCCTCCTCCATTACATCGCAGGGAAGGTCCCAGGATACCTTCCCAATCTGCCTCTCCCCACCTCACATACATACATTCTGTTTGTTCCAGGATCTCTTTCACCCTCCTGTCTTTCTGTCTGTCTCCTGCTTTGTAGTCTCTGAGCTTTCCTCTGCTATGCATGTTCCTCTTCTCTTGGGGACCTGAAGTGAGGTAGGGAGAAGAGTCAACACGATGTAGGGAAAAACACAGGGTTCAGATTCCAACTGCACCATTCTCTCTCCAGCTGTGTGACTTTAGGCAAGTTAATGCGCTTCTCTGAGCCTCTATACGTTTCATTTGATACACATTTACTGAGCACCTACTATGGAGAAAAATGGAGCTAGGAAGGGGGCTAAGGAGTACTGGGAGGGAATGGCTCCATTTCATTTTAATAGTGAGAGCAAAGGGGCGCCTGGGTGGCGCAGTCGGTTAAGCGTCCAACTTCAGCCAGGTCACGATCTCGCGGTCCGTGAGTTCGAGCCCCGCGTCGGGCTCTGGGCTGATGGCTCAGAGCCTGGAGCCTGTTTCCGATTCTGTGTCTCCCTCTCTCTCTGCCCCTCCCCCGTTCATGCTCTGTCTCTCTCTGTCCCAGAAATAAATAAACGTTGAAAAAAAATTAAAAAAAAAATAGTGAGAGCAGGGAAGTCCTCACTGAGGTGACAGTTGAGCAAAACCTGAAGGACATGAAGGGAGTAATACATGAAGATATCTAGGAGAAGGACATTCCAGTGCAAAGATCCTGGGGTGGAAGGGTGCCTGGTATGTTTTACAAATAATTAAGAGGTCAAAGTGCCTGGGTTGGAGGAGGGGATGAGTAAGACCCATTTCACCAGGATGCTGTGAGTAATCAGTAAAATGTGACTGGAATACAGTAGGTGCTCTGTGACACGTTACTTCCTCCTCTTCCTTCCTGGGACCTTGTCAGAATCTGGGGAACCCATGGCTGGGTAGGGGGAATGAGAGTGTTCTTAGGGTCTGGGCCACACCTGCCATCTCTCCACAGGCTGCACCAAGTGTACTTTGATGCACCCACCTGCCGAGGGGACACTGACAAAGTCTTCCTGGTGGGAGACTACTCCTCATCAGCCGAATTCTTTGTCACAGTGGCCGTGTTTGCCTTCCTCTACTCCATGGGGGCTCTGGCCACCTACATCTTCCTGCAGAACAAGTACCGAGAGAATAACAAGGGACCCATGATGGTAAGCCCACACCGCCACTCAAATGCAGGGGCCAGGGGGACATGAAGGCTCAGGGACACCACCATGTTCACAGGCCACACCGAACCCAGACAGTCCCACATGCAAGCAGTCACCATAACAGCCACAGATGTTACTGCTGCTGAGGCTGTGAGCATAAAAAAAACCAAATCATAGAATGACAGGGACACACTCATAGCCCACACAGAATCCCAGACAGGCCTACACCTGGAAACCCGCCACCTCACACACAACCACACAGTCTAGATCAAAGAAAGGTGCACAGAGGTTCACTGTGACAGTCATGCCTGTCACTGTGCCACCAGACACACTGATTCCTACACAGCTGTACTCATACACCCTCATCCCAGACACAAAATGACACAGATTCCCACATTCAGACAAAAGCATGAAGACACACTACTTTCCACAGATTCGGAAACCATCCCACAAAATCCCCCCTACGCCCACACCCACACATCACAATTACACTCCCACATCCTCTGTGTCACACACACACACACACACAAGCCCAAGCTAGGAATGCTCACCTTCAAGTGAGTATTGGTGGCTTCAGAGCTCAAAAGGTAGAGGAGAGACAGGGCTTTTCTGAAGGACACCTCCCCCTCCCCAAGAAAGCCTGTGATCTGAGGAGGCCCCACAGCATGACATGAAGCGGCCCACTCACAGCGTTGTCTGCCTCTCCTCTGTCTGTCCTAGGACTTTCTGGCCACAGCAGTGTTCGCCTTCATGTGGCTGGTTAGCTCATCAGCATGGGCCAAGGGGCTGTCAGATGTGAAGATGGCCACTGACCCAGAGAACATTATCAAGGGGATGTCTGTCTGCCATCAGACAGGGAATACATGCAAGGAGCTGAGGGACCCTGTGACCTCTGGCCTCAACACTTCAGTGGTAAGCCCTGGGAAGGTTACTGGGATGGTGGGCCAGCTGGGGAAGGAGGCTGGGAAACCCACTGTCTGACATGGGGAGTGGTGGAGAGAGAGTATGAGAGGAGAATTCAGAGGAGATCCAAGAGGGCTCCCTGGAGGAAGCATGCCAACAACAGTGCCTTAAAAGATGAGATAGAAATTTTAACCACTGCGATACCCCAAATAATCCCCAAGAGGGGAATATAAGACCTTCTGACCGATTAGGTTAGGGAGATCTGGATCCCAGGCCCAGCCTAGTCATGTAGAATCTCTGACGACTCAAGACGGCCTTGGGACCTCAGTGTCCTTATACAGTGTGCAGAATGAGAGTAACTTGAAATGTTCGCACTTGGACGCCCCCTACTGGCCGGAGTCAAACTGTCTGAGTTTCAAGCCCAGCTCTGCCACCTGTGAGCTCAAAACTAGTTACTCAGCATCTCAGCCTCAGTCTGAGCATGTAAATTGAAAACTAGTACGAGGTCCTGCTCCAAAGTTGAGTATTTAGCGAACTAATAACAAAGTGTTTAGAAAAGGGCCTGGCACGTGGTAAGTTGTGTACAAGTGTTACAGATGCTAAGATTCCAACTTTTTTCTGTTGCTTGCTGGGTGTGAGACCTTGAGCATCTTAGCCTCTAGAGCTGGGCCCCAATTTCAACTATAAGGAGGAGATATTACTTCCTGCCCCAAAATTGAATTATATTACATATATTTAAGTTCTATATATGTGTTTTAATATAAAAGTACATATTTATATATGTTGTATGTGTATATACATATATTTGCATATACATACCTATGTGTGTATATGCATCTATTAGTGGTATACCTACATATTTAATAAAAAATTATACTTAGCATTTTACTATATTACAAATTTATATTGTTTACGATATTTTATACATGTATAAATATATATATGTAACAGTGATGTCAACATCCCCGAGAATCTGAATTCTAACACGTCTCATGCCCCCGCACCCCAGGTGACTTTTCTCCACATTTACGTTCATGCCCCAGGACTCTACAGGGTCCGAGTTTTAGAAACCACCACCCTTCGGGAGGCCCAACACGCGCAGTCTCGATGTTCCCCAGGGCCAAGTCAACGGACGCGCGGTGCGACAGCAGGGCTTTGTCTCCCCGCAGGTATTCGGCTTCCTGAATCTGGTGCTCTGGGTCGGCAACCTGTGGTTCGTGTTCAAGGAGACAGGCTGGGCCGCCCCATTCATGCGCGCACCCCCTGGCGCCCCTGAGAAGCAGCCAGCGCCCGGGGACGCCTATGGCGAGGCGGGCTACGGGCAGGGCCCCGGCGGGTACGGGCCCCAGGACTCCTACGGACCCCAGGGTGGCTACCAGCCCGACTACGGGCAGCCCACCGGCGGCGGTGGCGGCGGCTACCCACAGGGAGACTACGGGCAGCAAGGCTATGGCCCTCAGGGTGCGCCCACCTCCTTCTCCAATCAGATGTAGTCTGGTGAGTGACTGGCGGGCGGTGCGGCCAAGGAAGGTATAGGAAAGGAGACGGGCGGGTCAGTAAACCAATAAGAGTCAAGAATAAGTGATTCGTAGATGCAGGGGAGTTGGAAGAGCCAACAGAGAGGCGGAGCTACATGCTAAGGACGAAAAACTAGCCAATAAATGAAGAGCAAGAGAGTGGTGCTTGAAGATGGGCAGAATGAAGAACCAATGGGAGAGAAGTAGAAGTGCCTCTCTGAAGGGAATGGCAGGGAGATTTGCATAGTGTAGGAGCTACGGTGGGAAGAGGAGGTGGGCCTTAGAACTGCTTGATAAGCCAATATGTTAGGATAAGGCAGATAGATGGTGACGGTAAACAGGCTTGGGTCATGAAGGTCAGACAAGCCCACCAATCCCAGAGGAAGTGACAGATCTGCCACTTCTCCCCAACCCTAGTGGTGAGGGAGGTGGTGTGGAATTTCACAGAAGGAAAAGGGGGCGGCGAAGGCAATGCGAAAGCTTGCGGGCCTTTTTGCTGGGCCTGAAAAGGGAAGTGTGATTTCCTCACGTAGGAGGGAAGGAAATGGGGAGAAGAGGCAGGGGGATGGCAACACGTGGGTGGAGGTAGCTTCTTGCACTTGGCCAGTATGGAAAGGATAGGGAAGAGTTTATTAGATACCTCACATCTAATTCATCAAAAAACCCTGTTGACTCTACCTTCAAAATATATCCATAATCTTCCACTTCTCACTGTCCTCTCTGAGCCTGGACATCTTCATAGCTTTCCACCCACATTCCCATTCTGTTCTACTCACAGCATTGGGAGGGATCCTGTTAAATTCTAAATCAGGACACTGCCCTCCTGTGCTCAGAGCTCTGCCTGGGCTCCCATCTCACATTAAAAGCCAATGCCCTCACCAGGGTCTACACAAAGCCTTACCCATCACTTCCCTAACCTCCTGCTTCCTACCACTCCCCACCCCCAACTCTGTTCCAGGCACAATCCAACTTCAGGACCGTGGTACTTGCTCTCCCCCTGGAGTTTTGCACCCACATACCCTGATAACCTTACCTGGCCAGCGGCTTACTAGTCCCCTTTCTAAGTTTTTTTACATTTATTTATTTTTGAGAGACAGAGCACAAGTAGGGGAGGGGCAGAGAAAGAATGAGACACAGAATCCAAAGCAGGCTCCAGGCTCTGAGCTGTCAGCACAGAGCCCAACGAGGGGCTCAAACTCACAAACTGGGAGATCATGACCTGAGCCGAAGCTGGACACTTAACCAACTGAGCCACCCAGGCGCCCCAAGTCCCCTTTCTTATCTCTGTTTTAGTATCCCGTGCTTTTCTTTATCACAGTCCATGATTATTAGTTAATATGTTTACTGACTATCTCTTCCACTAAACTAGGGGATGTCACCATGACTTATTTATGCATATATTGAGGAAATAATAGAAACGACATAAGATATTTTACTCTCATTTTATGCTTCTCTGCTCAAAATCTTCCCATGACTTACACCTCATCCAGAGTCAAAACTAATGTCCTCCCAACCTAGTCCACAAGGCCCTATATGACCCCATTACCTACCTCTCTGACATCACCTCCTCCCATGCTCATACCACTCGAGCCCCACGGACCTCCTTGCTGTTCCTCAAACACACTAGACATGGTTCCACTCCAGGGACTTTGCACTGGGTGTTCCCCCTGCCTGAAATGCTCTTCATTCCAGTTATCTGCATGGCAAATTCCTTCACCTCCTTAACTCTTTATTCCAATATCACTTCTTAAATGAAGTCTTCTCTGACTACCCTACTTACTACAGCAACATTTCTTCCCCTGTTGGTACTCCTAATCCCCCTCACCCTGGTCTACTTTTTGTTTTTACATTTCCCTTATTATTTCCTTATGTCATCCTACAACTCACTTATACATTTTCGTTATTGTTTGAAGTCTGTCTCCTCTGCCACAATGCAAGCACCACAAAGATAAGGATTTTTGTTTTGCCCAATACAGTTGATCACCAATGGCTAGAACATTACCTGTAAATGGACTTTTGGGGGTTGGGGGAGGGGTGACCATAATGTCTTTGATACTTAACCTAGTGGGCGCAAGGTATATCTTCCCAATAGGAGCAGCTAGGGGACTATGGGTGAAGGAAGAAGGAAGAAAAAGCATGCCAGACAGAGAGTAAAGCCAAGGTGGAGGCATAGAAGCCCAGCCCCCCTCCCTAAGAGTACAACCTAAGTCTGGACCCCCTCTCCTTTCTGTGTCTTTTGTCTCCACAGGTCAGTGCAGCCCGGGAGGACCCCATGGGTGGGCAAGAGCTCAGAAGCCCTGCCCCCCTTCCCACCCCTACACCCCAGGTCTCCGCCCCTCAAGCCAGGAGACTCTAACTCTCTTTGCTGTTTATATATATATATATTATATATAAATATCTATTTATCTGTCTGAGCCCTGCCCCCACTCCACACCCCTCATGCATTAGGGGCCTGACCTTGAGTGGGCCCCTCTCCTACCCCCACTGCTACCCTTGCATCCCTTGGCCCCTCTCTGTTCTCTGGCCCTGTGCCCTGAGGTTGGGGGACTCTGAAAGGGGGACAGGGAAAAAACAGATCTCAGCTATGTGGGGAGGGTGGGTGTGACTTCAGATTCTCTCCCCTCTCTCCCTTCCCTTCTCCCAACTTGGCCTGGATTCCTCCAGCAATGCCTGGACAGGGGCCATTAGGGGAAATTCAAACCTGAGAGGGGATAAAGGTAGACTGGTGGACTTGAGATGCAAGGTGGACTTGGAGAGGAGCTCTGGGGTGGAGAGGACTAGTCAGCCATACTGGATCTGGAGTCAGAAGAGAGATGCCCTAGGGCATTCTGGAGTGGGTCTTGGAAGGAAGCTGAGGGCATGGTTCTAGAATGGGTGGAGCCTTGAGTGAGGCAGGGGTTGGGCCCCAAGAGTGGGCAGGGTTTGGAGTAGGACAGGATTTTGTGTAAGGGGTGTGACTTGGAACCTGGAGACTGCATTTGGAAGATCATTGAGGGCATGGTTCTAGAGGGGTGGGGCCTGAATCAGGTAATGGGGAAGGCTCCAAAGTGGGCAGGTCTTGTGTTGGGACCGGTCTATGGAAGGGGTGTAACTAGGAACATTCAGGAGAATGAGGTTGATTCTAAAGGGGATAGATCTTGTGCAAGGGAAGAAGTAGGATTCAGCAATGGGCTAAGCTTGAGGTGAGGTCATGGTCTGGGTTCTAGGCAGGGCAGGGCTTAGAGTGGGTGTTCATGGTGGTTTCAGAAGGGGCAGCCCACCCTAATGGAGCAGTGAAAAAATATGTTTTAGAGTGGGCAAGTTTGGCAGTTGGTGGGGGGGGGGCAGGAATATCCCTGGCCAAAGCTGGGGACTGAACTGGCCTGGGAGGAGCTAAGAGGTATAGCTTGGAGGGTGAGGGGTGGGACCCAGAGAGAAGCATCCTCCACACCCTTGCCCACCCCCATGATGGGACAGGTAGGTAATCAGAGGACAGAGCCAACAGGTCTGTGGGGCCAGCCCACCCTTCTTCCCCTTTCCTTGCCTCCTCCCTCCTTCCATAGCCCCACCCATCCTGGGGTGGTTGGAGACCCGGTCTGGAGTCCCTATCCTGCACCCACTGCTGTGTCTGTGACGTCGGTAGTGCCTGTGATTGTGTGTTGCCACTTTGTCTGGCTGTGGTCCCTCCCCCTCTCCTCCAGACACCCACCCTTTTCCTTGCCCTTCAGTATTGTTTGAAGACCTCCCCAAGGAAGAACAAATAGGATTAATTCTCCTCCCCTAAATAAACTCCTCAACCACCTAGTCCACCCGGCTCTGATTTCTCAGTGTGTCTTTTTTGGGGGGCAGTGGTGGGGGATGAGAAGAAGGACAGATGGAGGAGAGGTAGAAAGAGGAAGCTCCGCCCCTGACCTGCTGGACCTGCCATTCAAGTCACCCCATCATTTTAGGTCCCTCCAGCAGTGTTATGCCAAGCCACATCCTCTGTGAAGCCTCTCCTGTTGATCACTTTAAGTCACACTCTAAGTAGTCCTGCCCAGTGTCCCACTACTGGCAACCGGCTGAATGCTCTTTCTATGGTTCAGTTCTAATTCTGGTCCACTAGCCACTCTCCTTCCCAGACTCCATGGAACCCTGTCTTCAAACCCCAAATGGTCTGAATAGAACCCCTACACTTAATAGGGAGACTTCTCTCTACCTAACCCACCTCATATTCTTCAGACTCTGCTTTCTTGACATTTTCTTCCTCTGCCCCAGATGGAGAACTGGGAGACCCAATGGGCTGCAAGGCCAGGAGGCAGGGCACTGGGGTGACTCATTAGTTCATTCATTCACTCATTCCCTGGCTACTCCATGGGGCAGGGAGGGGCGGGAAGTGACTGGGATGTGCATATTGGAGCTGGGTATGGATGAGGTCCCCTGTGCCCATAATAAAAGGCCCAGCTGCCACCGCCACCTTGCCTAATTAGAAACCCCTGCCTGGTACCTGAGTCCTGACTGCCGGGTCAGGAACCCCCTCCTCCCAGCCCTGAGGGGCCGTGAAGCCTGACATGTGAAGGAGAGACTCCCAGCTATGGACTGAACTCAGGGAAAGGGATATCCAACTGGGGAGAGAAAAATGGGAGCCAGGGAGGGAAGGCTTTAGTATCTATTTCTCAGGATTTAGGGGACAAGACAGCTGGGCCTGTACGGAAGGGGAGGGAGCGGGGAGTAGGGCCTCCAAACCTGGCCTGTGACTTTAACCTTCTCCCCATAAATATCAAATGGTCCCGGCTCTGACAGAGTTTTGGTGTGGGGGCTATGGGGGTGAATAAGAGTTAGTTCTCTGATGGTGGTGAGGGAGCACCAGCTGGGACTGTGATGGGCTTGGGGATCACACTTGCAGCATTCACTGGGGAGAAAGAGACCCTCAGAAGATCACCAGTGGGGAGGGGGCCAAGAGGTGGCTTTAACCCCTCCTCCCAATAACATCCAAGATAAATGGACTTGAAACGCCAGTACAAGTACCCTAGCGCACCACTCCTTGCAGCCAGGTGGCCACTTCCAAGTTCCCCTCCCCCGCATCCCCCCCCCCCACCTCTTCAGGCCCTAAAATATTCCGTGAGAGGCCATGTGTTACCCTGAGGTTCTGGGAGGCGTGCCTTCTGAGGCCTGGTTTTGGCTCGGGGCGGGAAAGCTGGGGAGCTCTCCTGTACGGCGCTCCTGGGCTGCGTGCCCCTCACCTCTAGGCAGGGGGCGCCTTGGCCCAGGAGTGAGTGCAGGCCCAGGAGCGGGCGGTGCTCGGCGCGCTCCTCCCATGCCGGTGTCAGATATACGGAACAGATCTCCCAGGCCGGACGTGCGGTGGCCTGACGGCCCGTGAGGATTCCATCGGCCTGACCCTGCCCGGCTTGACCCTGCCCGGGCGCGCCATGTTCGCGCGTGGGTCCCGGAGGCGCCGCTCCGGTCGCGCGGTGAGCGATACCCGGGGCAGCGGTGGGAGTCAGGGGTAAACTGAGGCCCAGGAGAGGGGGCAGAGGACAGGGATAGCGAGGAGGCGCGCCACTGAGGGTTTGGGAATCCCCATCTCCAGATTCCCAGAACAGACAGGCTGGGGCTGCTGGAAACGTGTGGATGAAGGAACGTGGAGATCTGGTGGCAGATGCTCCCTAATCGCCTCTCTGCACACTTCCATCAGCACCCCAGGACCTGGTGGTCCTCTCGTGTGAATTCTGGGAGGGGATTCTGAGGGCCAAAAGACTGGATCATGGAGTCCTGAATTGAGTAAGGACCTCCTGAGCATCTGAGGGAATCTTGTACCTTGGCAGAAAGTGATCTTAGGGGTGAGGTCCTACACTCCTGAGGTGCCTAAATACTAAGGGTCCAGGGATTGGGATTTGGAGTTAGAGGGCTTCTAGGCTTCTACCTGAGCCAGGAGCTTTTTGACCTCCTAGATAGTGGGGCTGCTCTTCCTTTGGAGGGGGTCTTTAAGTGGGGTCTGGGTTTGGTGGTCCAAAGGACCAAAGGCCAAGACTTCTTGGGGTGGGGATTATTGAATGGATCATGGGCCTCCTGAGATCCTGATCCAGTTCCTTAGGTATGAAAGGGGGGAAGCCAGGGTTTGGGGGAAGGGCTTCGGAAAAGAGGGACAGGGTTCATGTGGGGATCCCAAGTGAGGATGGGGCCTCAGACTCCTACCCTGTGGAATTGGAGTGCTGCTGGCCTCCTGGATGGAGAAGGGGCCAAGATGAGGCCTGGGAGGGACACCCGGATTAGAGTCTCGGTGCTCTGGTGTGGAGAGTGTTCTGAGTTCTGGGGGAGGTGTTTGAGGCCTGGAGGAGTCAGAGGCTGGTGGGAGGTGTCCAAGGCTGGGTGAGGGGGAAGGGAATTCCCTGAAAAGGGGTATATAGGAAGGTGGCCTCAACTTCCCCGCCTCTACCTCAGTTGTGTCCTCCTCTCCTGCACTCCCGGCGCTGTCCCAGCCTGCCCACCGCTGCCCTGGTGGGACAGGCCCTGGCGTGCGGTCGCGGGCCTGGGAGTGGAGAGGCGGGCGTTGACTTCTCTCTCCCCGCCCCCGCACCTCGTCTGGTACCGCGTCTGCCCTCACCCACTTCAGCCTCCAGAGGCGGAGGACCCAGACCGCGGCCAGCCCTGCAACTCCTGCAGGGAACAGTGCCCCGGCTTCCTGCTGCACGGCTGGAGGTAGGTGACCATCTGAGGGCCTTGTCTTTGTCAGGGCCCCGTCCTCAGGGGAACCCCCAGAAGCTCGGGCCACACCCGTAGGCTTGAGCTTAGTCCATGGAAGCAGCTCAGTTGGGGCGATAGCCTTACACTCAGACTCAGGGCCCCACCCCCTGACTCATTCCCAATTGTCCAGTTCCCAGGAAAACTCCACCCACTACATAGCCCCGCCCCCCAGAAGTGTTCTCGCCTGGCTGCCAGTCCATCCCTAGGGAAGTCCTCAGTCCCAGGGGCTGAGCAGCATCCACTGACATCCAGCCCTTCTCAGACTCAGAACTTTTCTCCCAGACCCAGTGTCCTATCCTCCACCTGGAGCCCTGTACCCAAAACGTCTCGTGAAATCCCTCAGAACCCACAGCCGGCACACTCAGGCCCTACCCACAGGCTCAGAGCCCCCACCCGCCCACAAGTTCAGACCCAGCACAGGCTAGAGCCTGCCTCTAGGAAAAGTTCCCCCACAATATCCAAAGCCAGTCCTGGAAAGAAACCTCTGAATATGTAACTCCAATCTCAGACTCAGAGCCCCACCTTTATTCAGGCCCACTGCCAGGACAGTCTGACCGAGTCCCAGAGATGATAGTCAGGGGCCACAGCCCCACCTGCAGTTCACAGCCACTCCCTCTGCTCCTCTCTCACCCACAGCAGTCCCACCCCTGGGCCCAGAGCCCTGTCCTGGCTTAGAGTCCTTGGGTGACGATAATCTGTATGTCCCTGCCCCTTATTTGTACTTCCTTGGGGCTGCCAAAGGGTCCAAGTGAGCTACTACGCCTTAGTAATTGACACCCTTGCCTCTCCCTCAGAAAGATCTGTCAGCACTGCAAATGCCCGAGGGAAGAGCATGCTGTGCACATGGTGCCTGTGGATCTGGAACGCATCATGTGTCGGCTAATCTCAGACTTCCAGCACCACTCCATCTCCGATGATGACTCTGGCTGTGCCTCGGAGGAGTATGCCTGGGTGCCCCCTGGTCTCAAGCCAGAGCAGGTGACCAGAGGCTGCCACCTGCTCCTGTTCTCCAGTGGATGCACACACATGCAGGCACACACATATACAAACCTATTTGTGGGACCACACTAGGGTGTGTGGTCAAATTGCATGTATCCTTCTGACCCCTATGTAATCTCACAGTGGTCGGCCCCCCACAATTCTCAGGGAACCCTGAGTGATCATTGAGTGGGTTAATTAGGGCATGTTCACCCCACTCCTATTCTATCTCTTAACTCAGGTCTTATCCCAGCACTTCATTCACCACATCACATTAATTAATTCATTCAACAAATAGTTATTGAACACCTACTGCATCCCAGACACTGTTCTAAGCACTGAGGACACAGCAGTGAACAAAACACACAAAAAAATACATCCACCCACATGGAAGTTAGATTCCTAAAGTGAACAACAGCCAATATAAACAAACCTATAAAAATATGTCAGATGGTGTAAGGACTATGCAATAAAAAAAGCAGGGAAGGAGTAGAGAGAAAGTTAGAACTGTAAATAGGGTGCCCAAGTCAACCTCTGTGAGAATATGATGTTTGGGCTTCCTGAAGGAGGTAAAGAAGTAAGCCATGCAGATACCCAAGGGTAGAGCTATCCAGGCAAAAGGAAGAGTTGATGCAAAGGCCCTGAGGCAGCAGCATTCTTGGCACGTGTGAGGAACAGTGGGGAGACAAGTGTAGCTAGAACAGTGAGTGACTGGGAAAGTGGGGGGAGGTGAAGTCCAAGAGGTAGAGGGGGGTCATGGAGAAGACTTGGACCTCTACTCTGAGTGAGGGGGAAGCCACGAAAGTGTTGTGAGCAGAAAGGGATGTGGTTTGTTTTAGGATTAGCAGGATCCCTCTGACTGCTGCGTGTAGAACAAACAAGGAGTAAGGCTGGAAGCGGGGGGGGGGGTGCAGTGAGGGAGAGGCTACTGGAGTAGTCCTGTGACTGATGACAATGTTGGCAGTATAAGTAGCAAGTGGTGATCAGATTGCAGATGTTTCACAAGCAGAGCTAAGAGGATTTGCTTGTGAATATGTGAGCGAGAGGAGTCAAAAATGACCTCAAGGATGGATGGATTAACTGATGTGGGACCGGCCAAGGCC